AGATGATAAAACTTCATTTTAACTTTTTTTTTTCTGTGATAGATTTTTTTGTGTGTGTGTACAGTATATTTCTTGGTAGAACACCACTCTAGTAGAGTTGTATGTCATATATTTCATGCCTAGGACTTATCTCAATGATGAGGAAATTGGGAGGGTCCTATGACATCTGTAGTCTTGTCATTCTCTTCCCCCTCTTTGCTCTCTCAAAAAGAGAGCACAGATTTTTGCGTTTACAGCTTTTAAATAAACAGCATTCAGCACCATCAAACACAAGGAACTGGTTTTATAAAAACTATGTTTCGAGAAAAAACTACAGAATACATTTATTTATACTACTTCTGCATCTTACCACGTGCAAAGGTAAGTTGCCAAGTGATAGAATCTGCAGCAGATACAATAAATTAGTAATATGGAAGTAATATGCAAAGGAGCCTGTGTAAAGCCAAGAGTACTGAAAGGATCCTTTTGTGTCTGGTTTTTTTGGCTTTTGTTGTTGTTGTTTTTTCTTTTATTATTCATTGATACAGTTTTGCCCTGTGAAAGAACTTGTGTTTTTATGGTTCTGCGATTGTGTGTTCAGAGAATATTTCTCCTGGTAAGGATCCCAGAATTCTTCTGGAATTACTTTTTGGTTTTGCTTTCCTCTCAGTGCAGGCAGGGCAAAGTTACTAGTTTTGGTTTTATTTTTCTTTTAAAATGAAGGAATGAATGAAAAAATCCTAGCCAACCAAAAAAAGCCTCATCTGAATGTAGAGCCATGAATAAAGCCAAGACGAGGCTTTCTGAAAGAATTGAGTAGAAGCAATATGACTTTCTAGTAATAATAGAAAAGACTATTTAACCCTCTACATTGTGCAAAATTATCCTTTATCACTTTAAGAACAAATTTTCTAGAAATAATCTTGAGGGTATTATGATACTTACAAGACTACTGTTCATTTAGGATAATTTTCCCCAGTGCTTAGCAGTTCCTATGGCTCTGCTATTTTAAGATGATTGCTACTTTCACATTTCCACATTATTTTTCCACTAGTTTCAGAATTCCTTATGTGCAGCTGTCTCCAGGAAGTAAAACTTGGTATCATGCTCAAGGGCCACATAAGCATCTCCTTGCATGGTCCTATTAGCAGACTTACATGATACTTGCCACTCAGGCCACTGTTTTCTGAGACTTAAGTGCCGAAAGCATTATTTTTTGTTATTATGATCTTGGGATGACACTGGTATAGTTTGGGGAAGGCAAACTTGAACCAAAGTATTCTAATTGATAGTATGAGTGTTGAGAATGATACTGCAAGTGGAATTCATTTAACCACTGCATCTTGTTACAGAATCTTCACTTGCCAGTGAATGTCACATAGATGTACATTTGTTTCTTTTCCTTGACAGGCAAGCTAACGAAGAATATCAAGTGTTGGCTAATTCATGGCGCTATTCATCTGCTTTTTCAAACAAACTGTTTTTCACAATAGTGGATTATGATGAAGGGGCAGATGTTTTTCAACAGGTAAATGCTGGGTACTGTAAAATGTGTAATTTTAGTACTACATGTTGACTTGCTGAATGATTCGAGACAAATTGTGTTATGTTTGTAGGTGTGTACCTCTGTTTTGTATAGAAATCCTTCCTTTTAAAAAATACCGGGTACTGTGGTTCCTATGACATAAGTGAAGACAGATTCTACCAGTAGCTACTTGTAATATTTTCCAAATGAAATTTATAATGTTTGTTTATAGAAGACATTTATATGTAGGTGAACTATTTTCAACTCGTTGCCAATGTTGGTTTTTTTTAGAAATAAGCACAATGCAACTAGCATTAGCATTTTATGATTTCCCTTATTTTATATTTTGGGGAAAAAAGCTCTTAGCCAAAAGAGCCTTTAAATTACTTTTATGTAGTACAATATTCTTCAACTTCAGTAATACTTGTAGCCAGTGGAAAGCCAGATGCATAGCTTAGTCCAATTAATTTTGGATTGGTGGGCGCTAGGCGAGAGAACCAATGTTGAGGGAAGATTTAGGTTAGATGTTAGGAAGAAATTCTTTATTGTTAGGTAGTGAGGCATTGGAACAGGTTGCCCAGGGAGGTTGTTGATGCTCCCTCTCTGATTCTAAGCTATTTTAACCCTTTTTGTTTTCCCTAGGATTATAACCTACTATACTTTAATAGATTGAATCATTGTGGGTTCTCTGTTTTGCTAATTGCAGGAAAGTTTTTGCAGTACATAAGAACTTTAAAGCATAAGGTACTCGTACTCAGAGAAGCTTTGGCTGAAATAATCTGAATAATTAAACAAGCCAGAGACTGTACTGGAAGGAATATTCTCTGAGTAGTGTTTTTATAGCAAAAAAAGTAATGTATGAAAACAAATTATATTTTTTGTGCTAACTAGACTTGTTATCTTATACATCAAATCTAAGAATTTTTGAGGATAGATTTGCTAATCTTTTTCTGCTATTTTTCCTGATTTTGTAGCTGAATATGAACTCTGCTCCGACTTTCATGCATTTTCCTCCAAAAGGTAAACCCAAGAGAGCTGACACGTTTGATCTGCAGAGAATTGGATTTGCAGCTGAGCAGCTAGCTAAATGGATAGCTGACAGAACAGATGTTCATGTAAGTCTTCTGACAATTGTAGAAGTTGAAGCTGAATGTATCTTTGTGTAATTTCAGACAGGCTGATGACAAATTCCATCTTTCTGTAATACCTTTTTTCCTCAAGGGAAGGTTCTAGAACACATTAAAAAAAAATAAAATAAAATGGTACTTGCAGTAAATTCTGCAGTATATTCCATATATATTCCATATATTATATATATATTCTACTATATTCCGTTCTTGTTTTGTTAAAGTTTATGAAGTCTCATTCTGCATGAAAACAAGGAGTGATATTGTGGTAAGTAGTTGTTAATGAGTAAAACTATGAGCAAAAAAGGTAGATCTGAAGTTAACTGCTGCTAATTCAGACACAATATTCAAGAAATAATGTTTTGGAGTTGAATAGTTCAAAATCATGCTTAAAACTTTTTTCATATTATGTGCTTATTAAAGGAAGTACTCTTTTTTTTTTTTCTTATAATGTAACATTAGGGGTTATTTTTTTCTGACTGAAACAGCATTTCAGCTGCTCCCTGTGTGTTTATATGGAAGATGATCTGTACATTTGCATTTATTTATGATCTGTATTTACATTTATCTTTTCCAGATTAGAGTGTTTAGGCCTCCTAACTATTCTGGTACAATTGCATTGGCTCTTCTGGTATCTCTTGTTGGTGGCTTGTTATATCTGCGAAGAAATAACTTAGAGTTCATCTACAATAAAACTGGCTGGGCCATGGCAGCTCTGGTATGCAGATTTTCCTTACTAATATGCTTCTTATTAGATTCTTAGCATAGGTGTCATATCATATATTTGCATATCATATATTTGCACATTAAATTAAAAAACATTGTATTAATACATTGTTCAGAATTGTACTATCAGACAAAGATATGTAATCTAGATTTTGGAGCTAATTCTTGTAAGCAGTGAGTATCAGTTACTATGAGTCATTCACTTGAAAATTAGCAAATTCTGGTAGTTAGTTGCTGATTCTTGTTTGAACTTAAACAAGAAAATACTTCAAATAAAAACTGTTAATAATGTTTACTGCTTTCATTCAACTTGTCCTTTTCTGTAAAAGCAGTAATTTTACTGCTTTTTTTTTTTGTTTGTTTAGTGTGGATGTTAATGCTGGAGTGTAATGAAAGGTTGATAAAAGTAACAAAGGCTTTTTATATGTTCATAAGAAGTTAATATAATAACTAGGAAACAAAGAAAAACGAGGAGTTCTTTCCAAAACTGGTTTCAGTAGTACTGACCTTAACATTCCACTTTAAAACTAAATGAGAATTGGACAATCTTACAGGGTTAACTCTTGAGAAAATCGTAAAAATAACCAATACTCTGTTTGAAATATTAGTGAGCTAAAACTCCCAAGGCCACAACTAATGAATAAATGTTCAACATGCCTAATATTGTATTGCAGTGTGCTTATTTATATCATAGTTTTCAAATAACTGAGCAGATTGATGAAAAATGTGGACTGTCCAGTTTTAGATAGAAAATAGCATGCAAGGATGGTAGATGACAGTTTGGGTCTATCAGTAAGTGCTATTTGAGTATGATAAAAGAGGAAATCTGAGGAGCAGCATCTATGGCTTAATTTTCAGAAACGGAGTCAGGAGTACGGCTATCAACACTAGTTTAGGGTTATCAAGTCCAATCCAACACTTTACAGCTTAATAGAGATCCTTCCTTCTGTATTAGGAACGTATTAACTGAGAACAGTACTTTTAAAATGTCTGTCCATGTATTTTGTACAGCATTGGGCAAAATTTTCTTTTTCCATGTAAATGTTTGTTTATTCATTTCATAATTTTAAAGACCTTTTCTTAGTTTGCAACAATGTGAATCAGCCTTCCTAGAAAGCACATGGCTAGGATTGTAGACAGAGCATGAATTCAGATGTGCAGCAGCATTAATATTTTTAATTTTGGCTCTCTTTCCTATGAAAGCTTGGACCAGATGGCCTTTTGAGATCTTCTCCAACCAGGGGTATTCTGTGCTTCTCTGTATTTTAGCTCTGCTAGAAGTAGATTACTGACATACCCTATAGTTTGTTTTTCCTTTTCAAAGCCACAGCATATTGATGTTTCACTGTTCTGCTCCAATTCAACAATATGAGAAGATAACTTATTTTTTGACACTTTCTTTCAGCTGAAGAATGCATTGGTAGCATTTATTACATCAGTTCAAAGATAAAGTTACCTAATACCTGTTGAGCTGTAGTTCATTTTTATGCTTTAAAGATTAGCAAGTTCTTAAAGCAAGCTCTTTATTCAATGTTCCTTAATATTTGTCAGTACTCTTGAATAATGGCTACTGATAATGCTGTTTTCTCTCATGTGCTATCATATAATTTCCTGCTAGTGTACATGGAATACATTTAAAGTTTAAGGAGTTTTTTAATCTACCCTGTACACTGAGGAAGGAATAAAGAACAAGATTTCAAATAAACCACCTACCAGACTAGATTTCAAGTAGAATGATGTTTCCTTTTGACCCAGAGAGCCAGAGGCAGAACATTTTCTTTGTTCCAGGATGTCATTTGGAGTATCCTGAACTCTTACACAGAGTTTTGATAGTTCTCTTCCATTGTAAGTCTGTTCAATATTTAGTTAAATATATTTTTCTAGATTACTGGTATTTTTCAATGCTAATACTTTTAAAAGATGAACTATCATCAGAAAACTCAAGTTTTATATCTATCTTTTTTGGGACTCTTAATATTTAGAGATCACCTGAGTAAAACATCAAAATAACACACCAAAATAGATGTTTGTGTCAGAAGTCAATTAACAATATGTAATTGGTGGTATTTCCTTTGTTTAACCATGCACTGTATGTCTAGAGACAGCAATTTTATGCCAATTTCTTACCTCCGGGCTTCGGATCCGAAGTTTAATGTTTGAATGTTTGGGGGAATTTTTTTATTTTATTTTATTTTAAATCAGTTATTCAAGAATCATTCCATTAAAATCTACAATCAATAAATAGTTGGAAGACATAATTCACTTCCTAATTAAATTAAGAAAATTAACATATCAATTAATTCCAAAGCTATTTGCTGTTCCCCTTAACAGCAGCTGCATATTTTACATCTGAATGTAACTATAATTTGCAATAGCTTACAGTCACATTCAGCTGAACCCCTGTGGAAAGGGTCAATATCTAAATGTGATCAAACATTTAAACAATTTGTATTAATGCCATGCAGTAATTGTCATCCTACTGATTGTATTGAGAAGCAATAAATAGTTAAAGGGAATTGAAATTCCATTAATGCCATTTATTGTTGTTGCTAATACTATTTCCTGTAAAATTCTGTTTACTTTAAATATGAATAATGCTTAAAGGATGTTTTAGAAAACAGTATTATATCTGAACATTTAAAACACTTAACATGGCATTGAGCCAAAGCTTCTCTTTTATTCATTACAGTTCTTTTGCTTTCACGATGTTGTCAAAGCCCCATACTGCAAACTGTTTTAGCAAAGATCATGCAGTTACCTGAGGTCCTTTTGATTTTATTTAGATGTGCACAGACCTACAAGTTAGTGTTACGAGCTCTTTTTGGTGGAATCAGCAGGGACTCCAAATTGCAGGCTTTTGCACAGATGACTTCAGTTGTGTAAAATGATTGAATATGTCAAGATCCATATAAAAAAATGGATGGTCTTTAATATATTCATTCTGAGTGGTTTTTTTCTAACAATAAAACTTAGACTTCTTTTTTTTTTATAATAGCTTATTAAAAGGAAAAATGGAGAAGATGGTTTCTAGTTAAGGGGAGAAAGTTATAACTAATAAAATGCTTTTATGAAGGGTATAAATAACAAATACTTAATTTTAAAGAATTATATCCTTCATGAATATTTTTACCTTTTTGAAATTTAAAAAACAAATCAAAAAGGGAAAACCTGTCAATATACATAAAAAACTGCAGGAAGACCATGGGTTTTAACAGTAGTATTGACAATTACTTTTTTCCTTTTTGGCAGTTCTTTTTATGGATGTTGCAGAACTGAGGAAGCACAGGAGCTTTTTTCTAAAAGCTGTAGTTTTGGGTGTTGATTGGTTTTGGGGAGGCATTGTACTGCTGGATAGCCAGCATTCATTAGCTAGATGGAAAATAACATTTTTTATTTCAGCTGGAACTCTTTCATAGATATCGTAGAATTCAGTAACTGAAAACGGTATCATTACAAACAGACAAGTCTCTTGTTTTCTTTTCCTTGTTTATTTAGAGCTGCTTAGTTTGATTCAATGAACTTTTGTACTCCCAAATGTTGGATACTTCTTATGTAAAAGTGGACAATGCCTCTCTGCCGATTGAATGATCTGTTCCTAAAAATTAGAAAAAAAATTCTCAGCATAAAGTGCCTCTGATGTTTTTACTAGAACAGAGAATCCCAGAAATGTTGATTGAAGTTTTATTTAATTTCTCCATTGATTCCAAAATGTGGTGTCTCATAGGTTGTATTTCTGGCACTGGTTTAGGAGAATATTTAGGAATGCAATTTTTACTGATACATCTAGTAATGTTGTGCTAGACTTCCAGAAGCAAGACCAGATCTTTTCATCTCACATTGATTGCAATGCCAGTTCACACAAGACTGTTGAACTGTTAAGTCCTCAACATTAGATTGTGCAACAGCAGTGCCATTAAGAGTTTTCATCCCCTTATTGAAGCACTGCAGTCTCTGGTGTGTGTGCCTTGGGCTTGTGTGCCTTAGGCATCTTTACTTGCAGCATTACTCAAAAGACTTTTAGGATGGTAAACCACAATGACTGAGTCACAGTACCTAATACGCCAAAAGAGGTCTTTTGAGATCACATCCAAAATTTATCCCCTTGGTTATTTTAGAATTTAATTAAAATTCTACTATTCATCTATGGATATTTTTTTCCTCTTGACATGCTAGCACAAAGATGAGGAAGGACTTCAGTCCTTAGGTATTTGCAGAGTCCTGTTCTTTTATACTGAAAATGAGAAGCAATTCAGATTCTTGTCTAGGCTCTTCATTTCTTAAGCAGAGAGAATAAAAGGTCAGGCGGTATAAACCGAGCAAATTTCTAACATTTTAGATAAGGAATTGTTACATTTTAAACTATCAGCACCAGTTCTGTTGTTTATTTTTTTTAGTTGTCTAGAATGTGAACTACAAGAGAGCTTCTTAAAGCATATTCTTTACAAGACTATCACTGTGTTTTTCTGCATGCAATTTTCAGTTTTGTTTTATGTGAATATTTCTGATTTGCCTTGTATACCTGTGGAATCTAGGAAGACCAAGTTTGTGCTCAGATTAGAAGGCAGATGCCTAGGAGTTAACTCTATTTGGCAAAATATATCAAGTCAAAAAGAACAATAACAAAAAAAAAGACAAAAAAAAGTACAAAAAAAACCCCAAAACAAGGACAAAGCATGTGTTTGCTGTTGTCATAACAGTTAATGGTTTTGAGAAATATGTTCTTTGCTGATACACTCCACGGTACCTGTGCTGGACAGTACATTCATCATCAGTTCTTGCTCCAAAAGAGCTTGAAGGGTATCATGGCTACTAGTGAGTTTTTTACCCTCTTCTGGGAATGAGGATAAAAAAGTAATGTATTTTAATTAAAGATACAGCTAGAAAAAGTCAGGCTCTCTGTGTGAATAGACATCTCAAAAGAACAGCAATACATGCAGGTTATTAATTTTCTTCTCTTACTGTGGTTAGAGGTGTTAGAGATGCACAATATCCTTTAAAGATACAGAAACCTGTACTCTTTACTTCTGTATTTTACTCCCTGGCCTTGAATTGTATATCTCCTATAAGAGATTCCAATGAGTGGTGGTTTGTTGTTTAGAAATTGAGTACAGAACTTGCAGCTCTGCAGCCTTTGAGTACAAAAGCAAAGTTAAAGTCCATAGAAAGGATTACATTTATTTAAAACAGTTATTGTGAAATGCCTAAAACTTACGTACACAGAACACTATATAAATTAAATACAGAATTGGCTGCTGGTGTCTCCTCTTTTTTTGAAACCATGGTTGACTTTAACTATATTCATGAATGAATCTAGAATTTAATTATTTTCAATGTGTTGCAAAATATTTGTCACATTCTGGAGTTTAAGCTTTCAGAGAGATATCTGATTATCTGCTTTGTATAGTATCTGCTAGTAGGAAGTTTCACTTCCAAATGCATACCGAATGGCTTTTAAAGTGCCTAGCAATCTTGTTTAATAAACTAGGAGATACTGTTAAACAGAATTTATGCCTTTGAGAAAGTGATGTATAAAACCCAAATAGTTTAACAAAGCTTGCAAGCCCAAGAACAGTCAAGAAATCCTACATGTGTACCTGTAAAGTTGATTCTTGCAAGCTGCTGGGTAGGCTCTTGATGCTTATTTCCTTTGCGTTGGTTCTTAAGGAGCCTTGTGGTGCACACAAGTGCACTATGGGTGACCTCAAAGCAGTTTCTCTCTTGGCAAAACTAGGGCTGAAGTCATGCATTGTGAAGCCATCAGGAAAGCACTGCTTGCCACTTGTTAACAAGATCTTGAGCAGTCCTATCAACACATACAGTGTACTCATCTAGGATTGGGAATAGAGCTGAACTTCATTGCCACTAAGCCTGTGGACATTTGGTCCTGGAACCATAATGTGTTGTAGCATGTCTGTGTATACAAATCTTCTCTGTTTGCTTTTATTATTTAGTTGTAGAATAAGCTACCTAAATCTGGAAGCTCTTAAAATAGTTCACCCTGGACTTCTCTGATAATTCAGATGGAATGCAGCAGTTAGTGTTGTTCTTAAGAGTGTGACAAGGAGAAAGAAGGGAGCAGGTGGATGAAAGGGGTGTCTGTGGTACTCTTTTCTCTAGAACTGCTGAAGCACAGACTCTGTCCTGGATAAGTGCTCAAAAAAGTGCATTAGCTTTAATTTGCTCATGTTCTTTAGTTTTCATTCTTTTTACTTTGACAAGATCTAAGAAAACTGGAGAAAGGAGCTATTTCTCTACATATTAATTTCTCCATTGAAATAAATACAATATAAAACTGTAAGGTAAATATGAAGGTATTAATCACACTAGAAGTTGCTCATTCATATGAATGAAATCTGGCAAGGTTTTATCCTGGGAAACAGCAACAGTAATTGTGAGGGAACTAGATGTTTTTGGAAATTTTGGATCCCAAAGCATGGGATCCCATGGCAACTGTGGTGTTTGGAATGGTAAGCACTGTGTATCATAGATGCATTCATCTGTTCTGCTAACAATAGCATGTATTTCAGGTGTATTTTAGAAACAGTAAAAGTCTGCAGTTGCCAATTTCATTTTATTTTTTTTTACCTTGTTGATTGTAATAGGACAATATGGAACAGAGCAAAATGAGCTTGATTGTAAGCACTATCTGTAGCATATGGCATGCTTGGTTAAGAGGTATGATGGATGTGATCTCTTCTTAGGAAAGGGGGAAGCTGGAGAATGTTTTTTGATTCCTGAGGAGGTAATTTTTAAACACAGAGTAGATGGGAGGAAATCATGGAAGATCCAGAATGTTGTGTAATAGATTAGTTTGCTCAGTCACTAACAGTCTTAAATGGAAGAGTATGAAGATGCTTTCAGGATAAAAAAACTATTTGTTAACTCTTTCC